CAGAAGATGAGGGGTTCACAGAGAGAGGGGTTTTGTGAAAGAGATTAGGAAAGGGTAAGAGGGCATGGGGTGGAGGAGCAGGGACAATGGTAGGAGTGGACAAGCAGGGACAGGATGAGGAGGAGGAATTAGGGAGTTATAGGGACAGCAGAAATCACTGTCCTTGTATCTCAGCAACTCACACTGGTCTTCTTTTCTGCTCCATTGGTCCACACGGTGTACAACTACATTGCTCAGCTTCTGTGACGCTATCCAGGATGTCTTTCAGGGTGGAGAGTAATGTTTCACACTCCCAGCATATGATGTGTCAAGCTTCTGGGCACTGAGGACACCCAGAAATAATCTGTTCTCTACTAGCACCAAAAATGTTGAACCCTCAAATTTCTAACAAACAGGGGACTATGTCACTCCCCACTGTTTTCTTTGGTGTTCTGAGCTAATAGGTAGGATTTGTTAATAGTTTAATAGCAAATAGGTAGGAACATTTGATCTTTTCATTAACGGATACTGTCAAATGTTTCATTAATTCCCCAGCAAAAATACAGGACCAGGGATACCTACTATTGCTAATACACAATTTAAATGCCTCCTGTCCACAATCACATGAGATCAGTTTGAGGTGAGGTGGGATGGGTAAGTTTCTCATGCTTCCCACTCATTCATTTGTTGAGTTTTAATATACATGCCACAAAAGTTTAAAAAAACACACAAAAAAACTGGAGCAGAAGAGATAACCAAAGTAAGTATGTTAGTTAGTCACATTAACTTGGTAAGTTCATAAATGCGGGTAAGGCAGACGTGACAAGTGGGAAGTAAACGTGTCATAAAATAGAACAGGTACTCAATCATTGTAGGCTATTTAAAAATGTTCCACTTTTTGTGGTTTTAGGAACAGATGCACTTCCGCATCAACCTTGATATGCAACTGAGCTGGGAGCTTTATAGTATTTGAGCCCTCACTGCTTGGCAAATTCCCTTGCTCTTCTAAATTCTGATCTCTGCTCAACTACATCTTTTGCAAAATCTTGAAAAATTGTTATCTAATTTTCTGGCATCTCTCAAAACATTCTTCCCATGAGCTAGCTTCATTATTTATTCTTCTCCAGTAAAACTGAGAAATTTGACAATTGGTGCATGAAGTTTGGCATTTGAAATTGGCTTAGGTGCCAGGAACCTATTTGCTCTCTCTAAATCAAATTTAGAATCACTCAGCAGCTGAGAAATCCTGCAAGGAACTGGGAAACAAACGCTAGTGGAATTTCTTTCTCTGCTCCTTCAGGAACTCTCCAACTCTAGATTACTGTGGGGAGGAGACCTTCCCTCAAAAGAAGTCTGCCAAATTAGATTTAAGAGAAACAGGTCAGTGAGTTTTCTCTGCACTTTGCCAGAGCGCTCTTGCACCTGGCGTTCCACTAAATATTTATCCATCCTGTCAGTGTTTGTAGAGAAGAGTTAACTGAAATACAGGAGATACTTGTGTTGTGGCCTTGATAGTTACTGTGTAGGAACTTTCTCTAGCAGGCCCATCATAGATACCATGCCCTCAGTTGCAGCCATCTTGTGCAGGAAGGAGAGGGCCTCCATTCTCTTTGGGGATTTTTTTCTTCATCTTCTAAAGCTTCCAGTAGGCAAATCTTTCTGAGGACTCTCCAGAAATTTAAAGGTGTCTGTTCCTTCATGGGTCAGTCAGAGGTCCTGGACATGGAATGGAAATGGATATTACCTAATGTCTCTGGAGTTCAAGGAATCTCCCTCGCATATGATAACCCAAAAGCTTGACTTTTTAGTGGCAAATAGTCATTTTAAGAAAAGTTATTGGTGAGATGCATTACAAAATACAAGTAAGTGAAATAAAACTAAGTAGGTTTATGTCTCTAATTGAAGCAGCAAAATGAAAAGTGAATGCAAACAATTTTATTCTTTAAAAGTTACTAAAGTGAAACCAGAAAAAAAGTCAAAGCCAAAGGTGCACTAAATGACCAGCAAGTAATCCGGGACATGGGTTAGAACATGAACTTTTCCAGTATAGTTAGGAATATAGGGTCTACAGTGTCAGATACTCTCTGTATCTTGCCTCCTTGGTCAATATTTTCTTTCAAACAAAGACAACACATCTCTCCCTATACTGAAATAGGTGCCCTCTAGAGGCAAGGGGAATTTTGCCACTGATTTCTATGGAGTCACTGTGTCATCCAGCGTCAATTGTATATGAAGCACTTTGGATGCAGGATGGAAACCTCCCTCCTGATACAACAAATATCAAGTCTGATCAGCTTAAACACTGAAGCATGAGATCTGATATCCTTACAGTAACGTGCACCACTTTTAGCTCTACTGGGAGAGGGAGAGGGAGAGGGAGAGGGAGAGGGAGGCAACCCTTTCCTTCCCAGAGGAAGAATCTGTAGGAGAAAGTCATGGAGGATGAACATGTGGATAGATTCTGATAACAGGAAAATTCAGAGGAATCTATGTAGTGTGGAGGGGAAAGGATGGGTTTATACCATGTGGTGGAATCAGAGAATCCAGCACCCAGATCCCATGATTGCATAGGATGGCCCTGTTCCTCTGCACAAGCTCCAAGATCCTGGCCTCCCTTCTTTGCAAGGATCCTAAGCCCAAAAGAAAGCCCTTTTCAGGGTGTCAAGAAGGAGTCAAGAGGACCAACAGAATACACACCATGCTTGGTAAAATTTGGCTCTGGAGTCTGAATTTTGAGGTTCAGGTTGTCACCGATTAATGTTTATTAGTTAAAAACTAAAGGAAATGTGGGTTTGCTAAATATGAGTCTAACTGCATTCAATAGTTCTGATTATATCTAATTTACTTTACATTAATGCAGACTAAATATAATTTTGTTTTATTATGCCATGTATTTTGTGCTCTCGACATCTACCAACCTTGTGCAATTAAGCCCTTGACAATGTTGTTTATTACTGACAAACTGTGCTCATTTTAATATTTTTCTTGTTCAAATTATAAAATTTTAAAAAGGAGAATTAGAGAAAACAGCAGAAAATAATCCCAAGGAAAAATTATGCTGTCTTGCTTTTGACAAAATAAAATGTCATCTGGATGTCCATTGCAAATAATAGGGGGAATGATGAACCTCAAATTTCAAGAGGTTCACTTTGGAAGAGTAGTGAAACAATACTGTCTGGGATCTTAATTGCACAAAGTTGAGAGATGGATCAGATCAGTTCTTCTCTGGGAATGGAGGATTCCAGTGGAATATGGAAGCTATGTCAGAGACTCCTATCGTGAGATGTTACCTTAGAGAAGCACCATAAGAAAGCAGGGGAGAAGAAATGGATTGGTCTTTTCTAGGAACGAGTAGCCAGATGAAATTCAAGAGAAGTTTGAGCTAAGCTCTAACTAGATTTATGCTGCTTTTGATAAAAGTGGTAATTTTTAAAGTAGTCCCTGGCACATGCAAAGGTGTGGAAAAAAGTCAGGCAAAGGGACAGGTGGTTTTTGGAAGCTTGTGTTCTTGGTCCTCATATTTAAGAAGGACCTAATTTGAACAGGGTGGTGTTTAGCAATTAATGAAAATCAGGTCCCTTTGAGGACTTTTAAGTTGGAGATGCAAAATGTCGGGCACATAGAATCATTAGGCCTCTTTGAATACCTGGGGCCACAGATGTGAATACAACAGTGCAATTCATCAGAAGAGAGGGAGTATAGCCTTTGTGCTTCAAGAGGAGTAAGTGCAGATGGAAGAGATGTAGTTTAGAATTTTGTAATTTAAAGGCCAATTTAATAGCATGCCATTTGTGTTTAGGCTGCAGGAAAATTGCTGGTTATATAGTGCTGTAAACTATTCAATATGGCTCTTAAAAATGCACTTATAACCGTTTTCCTTAGACACGTAGCTCTCAATTCCTGCAGTATCGCTCTTACCAGTTCTCTTTCCCCTGCTCCTTTCCTCCAGGGTCCTAACGCCTAATCATTTGAATCTAGAAACATGATAATAACTTTCCTATTACTGGGCCCTTCAGACCAGAGGGATACTGGGACATTCAGTGAAAGGAAACCTGGAACCTCAGGGCCTTTTGTTAATTAATGTTTGTATACTGCTTTGAAAAAGAATGCTAAGCACAAAGCACTAATGTGAAGAAGGAAGGCTCTACTAGGTTGCTTGTTGATTTGGCTGGTTTAAGTTAGTACAAACATTGTGTAATAAAATTGCTAAACTCAAAACAGTTTGTCTGAGATGCCATCTCCTGAAAGACCCAAAAGGACTAGCCTGGACCATTAGGATGTTTTCTGACATTATATAATGGTAAGTGCAGGGATGAGAAATATCCAAAAAGAAAAGTAGTTGGTGACAATTTTGTTCACGTGCATACAAAAAATTCCATCAGTGATTATATCATGGTGGGATGAATCGCATTAATGTTGCTTTTATAATTGCATAACACTATTAACATACTTTATCCAGGCTGCAGGCTACTCTTTCTAGTGTCAGCAATGATTCATGGCATTTTAGTTCATCACATGATCTCATGGGAAATAGCACAAGATTTTGCAGTGAGAATGATAATCGTGTTTGTGCTATATATATGCAAATATTTTGAATGGGTGTCCCATGAAAATTCAAAGAAGGATGTTAAGGTTAAGGAATTATGATGTAGTGTTAAATTATACTCCAGGAAAGTGGAGATACCATCTCCAGCTGATCTGTTTTCACAGGCTGACATAGACAAAAAGACCAACAGTTACCCTTGGAGAAGAGACCTGTAGATGGAATTACAACAGTTGCAATGCTCCTAATATTTCAACAAAGACAGGATAACATCTAGAGGGGCAAAGATGTGCCTGAAGCAATGCATAAAACTCGTAGGGAGATTATTTGGCCATTTTTTTAAGCGAGTGCCTGAAATATTATTGTAATTTCAATGTTATAGAGTCATATCATTCCCATTGTATAGCTGCTAAACATCAATAAGCACAGTCTTAATAGTCAGCTGGCACATAAACATAATTCTTTGGCTTTCTTTTAGGTGTTACAAGTTTCTGTGACAGTGAATTACCTTGTGAGCTAATAGCCTCTTTAAAAAAGAACTTTAATTGGATTCATTCAACAAGAGGTATTTAGAGCTTTAAGCATGTGGAAGTATGGCATTCTACAAGCACATAGTTTTTACAGCAAACCTCATACAATTGTGTAGCTAAAACTATGCCATTCCCAGTATCATTCCTGTTCAAATTTTGCTGGATGGTCTGTAAGCCAGAAACACAGTTTTGATAATTATAGAATCCATTCCAGTGCTCAGAACAATAAAAGATAAAATTTGACGTGAGGTATGAAAATTTACTATTCTTGTTTAACACAAAAAGGGTGCATCTACACTGCAGGGCTTAACTCGAAACAAGCTATGCAAATTGAGCTATGTCAATTGCATATCTTAGTTTCAAATAGCTTATTTTGAAATAGGGAGCGTTTACACAGCACTTATTTTGAAATAGTGCACTCCTCTTCTGGCTTCCCTTATTCCTCCTACAATGAGGGTTACAAGACGTGGAGTAAGAAGTCCTCCAGCTTGACAATATTTTGACACTATTTTTAAATAACTGCCTGCTGTATATACGTGGACTAAGTTATTTTGGGATAGCGCTAGTTATTTCAAAATAGTGTTGCAGTGTAGATATACCCAAAGAGCTAAAGTTATATTTGATTATATACATTAAATCTATTACGTTCTATTGGGCAGGAAGCAGGAAAATCTAGTTCTTAGGGGAAAAATAAATACATTTTAATATCTGAAGCGAACCCTGCCCTGAAGCAGGGTCTTGTGGTTAACTACTTGAGCTATGTGCCAGGAGTAATTGAATTTACTTATTGACACTGCCACAAAGTTTCTCAGTTTTCTTGGGCAAAATCACTGAATGTGACGGGCTTCTGTAAAACGGATAATATTTCACAATTTTTATATGGCTGTGAGGATAAATTTATCCATGATTATGGATCACTTAAATGCCATTTAACATTGGCCATAGAAGTATTTGTGTGTGTGACTATTGATACAAAGGTAGCTCATCTTGCTTGCAGGTCTCTTACTGCACCATTAAGATACATTTGAAAATTTGAGATTTGCTCTTGCTGATATACTATGGGGAGTTTCACTGTGATTTACCAATTTAATTTCTATTTGTTCTTTTTCATAGCTGGTTCTTTCATGCTGCCACTAGCTGGCAAGTTGACTGGCGAGAAGGAACAAATGCTGTGGATTTATTTTCAGGTAATCTCTTCTTTAGCATTTTATTGACAGCATAATAAGATGATTTTACAGTAGAAAAAGCCTGTGAAAATCTTAGATGTCAGGGACTGAATGTATTCAGCATGAATACAAATGTCAATAGCAGGATGGATATTATGACCCTCTTGTGACAGAGTTGTGACAACCATGCCAAGCTAATGAAACATGTGAACTACAGGACAGCTTAATTAAAGTCAGAGAAAAAATATGTAGTTAAGGAAAAAAAGTAAGGTGACACTCTTCCACTCAAAAACACAGAAAAGGGAATTAACTAAAAGGGAAAAGAACACCGGATTTAAGCCACGATCCAAACACTTGAGCAATCTTTTTGACTGGATTTGCTGGATTGGGGCTTTATTCTCTACTATGCTCCTTCGTAGTGTTCCCCTTATTGGGACCCCAGTATGCTTTATGTAGAAGTATATAAGTAGAAGGATATAAGTTCTCTAGTTGGGTATGAGGGCTTTAAAGTGAGTAGGTATTTGCAAAATGTTGGTTTACAGTAGAAATTAGAGGGTCTTTTTAAATGAAAATGCAAAGCCCATCTTCAGTTTTGCAATCAGTGAGACTGTACATGGTAGCAAAATTAAACTCAGTCAACAGGTGCTGTTTTTGCCATGTGGTGTTTCTCTCCATCTCCTCCTCCTGTGAGAGCATGAGATGGGGCTGGAAGGACAGAAGGCTGAGCAGGGGCGGGGCCTCAGGGTGGAGCACAGGTGGAATGGGGGCAAGGCCACTGTCCAAGCATTGGGGCCACAACAGATTAATTTGTCCCTGCATGAACCCACCCGTTTTTTCCCCCCAGTGGGTGCTTAATTCCCACACGGTGGCTCAGTCTGTTCTTCCAATAACCTTTTTATTTCTCAGTCTTGCTGGTCTTTAGCTTACTGTGTGCTTCCCTTTCTCCCTCCAAAACCAGCTAAGGCAAGAATATGATTGTAATTCTGCACCGAACATTTCCTGTAATTACTGCAACTCTTCTCTTTCCTTTGTCTTTTGAAGAAAAAGCCCTTCTCCAGAATCCTTCTTCCAGTGTTGTTCTGGTAAGACTTAAGGATGGATTTGTTTCAAATATCTCAAAACAGCTTGCTTCAGATCCAGTGTGGCGAGTGGGTGGGTTAGGTGCCGAAATATTATAAAATCCAGTGTGGCGAGTGGGTGGGTTAGGTGCTGAAATATTATATAGGATCTTGGTTTTAGGCTCTTAATTCCTTTAACACCTTTGAAAATTCCACCATAAATTATCATGAATTTTAGCCTTCTGAACTGAAGGGGGGTCCTTGAAAGAACTCCCCAGGTGACCAAGTTAACTCAGAATACATTGGATTTTCCTGTCTCCAAAGAACTGCTGAAAACCACTTCTCATGCATTTGTTTAAGCACACGAGCATTTCAGTAAAAAAATCAATTTGTCAGAAAATCAAGAAACTGTACAAATAAAATCATATACGAGGTAATTTAAGAAAGAAACTAGCACAGCATTATAACAGGATTTCCTTATCAACCACTTTCCAGATACTGTTACTGTCATTTAGGCCATGCCAATGACTGGTAACATGCCAACCTTTAACAAGCTGGTTCCACTTGTCACCCTTTCAATTTCCCAGCTGGCCTCAATTTTAAAGGGCATATTAGCATTATCAAAGTAATTTTTGAGACATGCCTTAGTTTGCTTTTAAGCCAGTTTTGCTTCTAAGTAACATTAGCAGAGAAAAAATAAAGAAATGCCACAGAGATAAAAATAATATTATTATCTTTATATGACATCAGATGTTATGCTCTCAGACTAAAAAAATTTTGTATTTTCTTCAAAAGAAATGTGAACTGTCTTATCATCCAACTCAAGATTTTAGAGAATACTAGCTTAGCATGTGCTAAAGATTTGCTCTTCTATAGTCACAAATGGCTGGGGATATATATTAGTTAAATGTACTTAATAGTCACTAAATTAACTGAAGAATGGTTTGAATCTTACCTTCTTTTGTAAAGTTCTTTGAGTTCCTTTAGTGGAAAGTGCTACATAAAAGCTAAATATTATTATTCATTCATATAATCATGTATATTATTTAATTCAATTAAGCATATGAAATACTACCATTCATGATCACTTAAACTAACATGCAAATATAGGTTGCATCTTGCTTCATCCAAATCAATAGAACATCTCCACTGAGTTTAGAAATGTGAGCATTTTTCAGACAGTAGGTAGGCAAAAAATGAAATTTTGGTTTGACTGAAACTATTCACGAAATTCAGCAAATTTTGGTCAATAAAAAAGGGGGGGGGAATTTTGGTTTGACTGAAACTATTCACGAAATTCGGCAAATTTTGGTCAATAAAGGGGGGGGGGAAGAATGTGAAGTCCATTTATTTTGATATTCTCAAAACAATATGTTTCAACTTTTCAGTTTGAATCACTGTTTTTGTTCAGCAATTTTGCTTGCTTTATTCTTTTTTTGTTTGAGCAAAATGTTGTTTCAAACCAGAACATTTTTCGCTTCTTCATTTGAGAGAGAGAGAATGAAAAAGTTTGATTTTGGAGCCAACAATTTTTTTTCAGTTTTTCAGTACTGTTATCAATTCAAAAGATCACCAATTTCCTCTGCTCTAAATACTGCAAAAGGAGCAGATCCAGCCTTCCAGTATTAATTTAGTCAACGGTATCAGCCATATAGCTTATAGTTATATACCCTAATCCAGGAAAGCACATGCACACGTGCTTACAGGGGAGCCAACAGCCACCCCAGGCCCCTTGGTAAAATGGGAAGGTCAGCTCCATGCTCCCAGAAAGGGTGGAGCCTTGGGAAGAAGGGGTGGGACCAGCGGCAGCCAGTTCTTAGTGCTGCCCAGAGCATGCCATGTCACCCTCCCCTGCCCTCAAAGCTGCTCAAAGTGCACTGCACAGCCTTCAGCAGTGATTTGAAGGGCCTGGGGCTTTGGGTGCTGCCAGTGCTGCAGTAGCTCATGGCCACCACAGCTGCTACTGCAGCAACAACGGCACCCAGAGTCCTGAGCCCTTTAGAATTTCTGTGCCCTGGGACAGTTGCCCCCTTTGCTTCCCTGCCCCCCCCTCACCCCGCCTCCCCCGTCAGCAGGACCATTTGCTTAAATGCTCTCCTGAATACAGATCAACTTACATACATGCTTACATGTTTTCTCAAGTCAGAGCCATCATTGGCTGTGTAGGATCTGGTCTTCGCATGATGTAAATCATCAGTAATAAGTTAATTACACAAAAAGGATCTGCCCCGTAGTTTTTATTTTTTTAAATTGTGCTATTTATTCTAGACTCAACTAAAATTATAGCTGTTGAATTGATTCAAAACATTTGTGACTCTTCACTGGATTACATACAAAAGCTTAATAAAACAAGGTAATTGAAAGATAACGTCATAGTCGTAAATCATAAAAGCTTAGTAGAAGATCAGAGAGAATCATTGATCTCTTTACACATTGAAATATTAGTATAAACTATTTTTAAATTGGAAAAATATCTACACCATGATTAGTATTATCCATCCATCTTACCTATTCTTTCTCTGTAATCTATGCGATTTATTTCCCTAGATACTTTTAAGGCCATTGTAACCATAATATGTAATCCTTCTAATGTGCAGGGATGTGTTCTTTCTGAACATATTTTCCAGGTTAATAAAAGGGAGAAAGAAACAGCAGGTACTGCTTGGATATATTTCAACCAAATCTCCACCTCTTGCACAAAATTTATAAGCATCATTAATATAAATCAAGGATGAGGAATTAAAATCAGGAAGTGAAAATAGATATTAAAGGCAGAAAGCATCATTTGAAGAGAAGGGAGTAATGAACAAATTAGATCCCATACAGTTACCACTGAACCAAGCTCTTTGGGCTGCCAAAACCAAAACATGTTAGTGAAATTAAAGTAGGCAACTAGAAAGGAGAAAATCCTGCAATTGTTCTTTCAGCTGGGGTGAATGAATGGCTGCTCAAGCTATAGACGAGAGGTGTAGATTCAATGAAATGGAAGTAATAGTGGCATGAGAAATGTACCATTTAATTGAAGTAAAATAGCCACATAAAATTCAATTATCTAATAAAAGGCAGATGGTAAGGAAACACTAAACTGCACTAAAATAAACAATTACCGATAAAGATAAAAATAATCTTCCTTTTCACTTGAATCAATGTTCTGTGCATTATTGCAAAGTACTGCCATGCAATAGAGAAGACATTAATCTATTGCACAACAACTTTTTCTTCTAGTCCCAAATATCAGAAATGCTTTGTTTAGTCAGCTGACCTGAGGATAATTGACTTTTAAAAATGTCTCTTCCAAGTCTTTCCCAACTTTAAGAAATCACCTCTCAAATTTAATTGGGGGGGGAGGGATGAAGGGAAGAGAATAAGTAGTATTCTACACAAATTACTTTGAAAATCTATATTCTGGGTTTTTTGAAAATCACTGTAAAGGGTTCTATAATAAAATTATAAGTTTATAAAAACCTATAGAAAAGGTCATTTTTATAAGGGAATTTTTGAGATCATCTTTTCCCCTTGTGATCTTCCTGCTCAAGTCTAGTAAAATCAGAGAGCTTTAACAGTGAAGCATTTTCATTTTCCAGAAAAGTATCTTGTAATATTTCTTGTGATGTATTTATTGCTACAGAGTTTATTTGTGATCACTGTATATTCTTTGGTTGCAGCTTGGTTCCCCCCACTCCAGGCAATCTTTCTTCTGATATTATGTGAAGAGAATAAGTAAATAAATCCATCCCCTGTCATCCATTCCGAGCTTCTGACAAACACAGGCTAGAGACACCGTCCCTGCCTACCCAGCTCCTTTTTGAGCCTTGTGGTAGTCCTGGCCTTCACAACATCTTCTGGCAAGGAGTTTCATAGGTTGACTGTGCATTCTGTGAAGATGTACTTCCTTTTGTTTGTTTCAAACCTGCTGCCTGTTAATTTAATTTGGTGACCCCTAGTTCTTGTGTTATGGGAAGG